GGAGTTTCACCATGCTGGCCAGGCTGGTCTGAAACTCCTGACCTCATGTGATCTGCCCGCCTGGGCTTCCCAAAGTGCTGGGATTACAGACATCAGCCACCATGACTGGCCTTCATCCTTAATAACAAGTCACATTTCTTGGCCTTAACAACTCACGAATTAAACAGGAATATGAAACACATAGTATGTCACGTTGCTGCCTTTGAGATTAAAATGAATCAAAAATAATTTGGCTTTAAGAATTTCACATCTGGCCGGGCTTGGTGGCTCACGCCTGTAATCTCAGCACTTTGGGAGGCCAAGCCAGGTGAATCATGAGGTCAAGAGATAGAGACTATCCTGGCCAACATGGTGAAACCCGATGTCTACTAAAAATACAAAAACTAGCCAGGCACGGCGGCGTGTGCCTGTAATCCCAGCTACTTGGGAGGCTGAGGCAGGAGAATCACTTGAACCCAGCAGGTGGAGGTTGCAGTGAGCCAATAGCATATCATTGTACTCCAGCCTGGGCAACAAGAGGGAGACTCTGTCTCAAAAAAAAAAGAAAAAAAAGAATTTCACATCTAAGATAACTGGAGATCCCAGGGAAGTTCCAGAATATCTGTTTCTTTTTATCTTTTGGTCCTATTAGCATCGAAGTAAGAATAATTCGGGGACAAAAAGCCTTATGATTTAGGTTTAAATAAAATTTGATTCTGGATTGCGATTTAGCTAGGCATTTATGAGTGATTTTTGAGGTAATACATATAAGAAAAGACAATTTTAAGGGATCATATATATTTGATGTGGATTTGAAATTGCAGTTTTCTGAATGAGGAAACCTAGAGTTGGAGTATTTTTCTATTTTTTTCTTAGTCATAGATTAACTTTGATATTTGGCTCTGACATATTCTGTGCGTTCCTATTTCCTGCAAAAACACAGCTCTCAAGCTGAGAACTGCTGCGATGCAGAGCTGGTGTTTGTCGAGGGCTTTGAGCGTTGCAGCTAGAACACTCTATGCAAACATGGAATATTATTTCTAATCTCTTACTCTAAGATGGGAGAGACAGGAGCTTAATCTCCAGATGCTACCAGGGTTTCAGAGAGAACAGGGAAATGACCAGAAAACCTCGCAGCCCCTTAGAGAACCAGATAGAAGTTTGGGCTCTGGCTGCTGACTCTGCCACTTGCAAATATCCTGTGGCTTGTGCCATTCTAAACTCATGGTGGTCCTGGGCTATGGGGTACAGCTCTGTGGTGACCACACATCGTGGCAGAAATTGGGTAGGCTGGGCATGGTGGCTCATGCCTGTAATCCTAACATTTGGGGAGGCCAAGGCAGGAGGATCACTTGAGGCTAGGAGTTTGAAAGTTTGAAACCAGCTTGGTCAACATAGGGAGTCCCCTGTCTATACAAAAAATTAAAAAGTAAGAAAAAAAAAAAAATAAGAAAAGTTAGCCAGGTGTGGTGGTGCATACCTGTAGTCCTAGCTACTCGGGAGGCTGAGGTGGGAAGATGGATTGAGCCCAGGAGGTTGAAATTGCATTGAGCTGTGATCGCACCACTGTACTGCAGCCTGGGTGACAGAGTGAGACCCTGTCTAAAAACAGCAGTAAAGACACTGGATGAGCCCTCTGATGGACAGCTCAGGGAGAGCATTCTGTGATTCCCAGGTCTGATAGCAGAAGGACACGAAGGTATTGAAGAATGTCTCTAAGGCTGGGCGTGGTGGCTCACGCCTGTAATCCCAGCACTCTGGGAGGCCGAGGCGGGTAGATCACGAGGTCAAGAGATCATGACCATCCTGGTCAACATGGTGAAACCCTATCTCTACTAAAAATATAAAAGTTAGCTGGGCATGGTG